AGAAGCATCTAAGCTACCTCATCACAATGTCACCTTTCTTGCAAGTAAAGGTGATGGCAGCTCAGAGAGTGCAAATTAAGCTGCCTGTAGTGGCACCTGTTCCCTCCCAGCAGTGGTTGGTAGTTCAGGGATTTTGCTCAAGATATTCTTAACTATTCCATGCAACAGGAAAGCAGAAGCAGCCATCAGGCAGAAGACACCTTTTTCTTCAAGCCAAAGGAACAGCTTGCCACTACTTTCAGTTGGCAAAATTCTACTATCAGTTTCAATAGGATTTTGTAGTCAAATTGAATATTAAAATGGATTACAGACCAGTGAATCAATTCTCAATTTCAAAGAGATCAAGAAACTCAACCTAAGGGCAAAAACACACTTGGATAAGGTTGGAAATACTCCAGCCTCCAGAGCTTCACAATCCAAGTGCTGAAGGAAGCAAAACTAGAAAATCTTGACAATCATTTGTTCCAGCTCTCTGTTCCCTACCTCAACAAGACTAATGCTATAGCAGAAGGGTACCACCCAGATTTCTAAGAACAAGCAAAGCCCTGTACAGAGAGACTAAAAGTATAGAAATAACAAAAATATTCACCAGTTTTCCACACCAATTCCCCTCTGCATCAATTGGTTGCAAAAGGCATAGGTGCCTGAAGCTAAACTGGCACTTAGTAGAAATTCTTGTAATTTAAAGTGTGTAATAGTGCTTTTTTTAGTTATGTGGAAAGCTTGAAGTCAATTAGAGGTACAGAGCAGGGTACAGCACTGCTGTGAAGTTAAAACACTGCCTGCTGCCTTTCCTTTGAAGGGCTGTACAATGGCTCAGCCCGCTCACAGGTTTGCACTCACAGTTACTGGCAGGCCATCCCCTGAGCACAGCAATGCAGCAGCTGACCAAAAATGAGGTGCTCCCAAAGCTCACTGCCTCTCTGAAGACAGAGACTATCCTGAAGTCAAACTTCACCTCCTTTGCTTTAATCCAGCTCTGATGTGGCTGTTTCTTGTATCATTCCCTTCTCCATAACACACACACACACACATATATAACACATCCCAGCGGCCCAGCAAGATGAATTTTGGCTTCCCTGAAGGAGATCCACAATGCTCAGAAGCAGCCACTGATTGCGTTATCAACACTACGCTGCAGAACTGCTTTTCAGCCTCACCAATCAATTAAGCTGAAATCTGGAATAAAAGCACAACACCTTCCTTCTCAGAATTACAGCTCAGTCCTAGAAGTCAGGGAATAAGAAAATACTCATTACACCAGATGAGGCCAAGAGAGAAGAGACGCATGGGGGAAACAGGTATCTTTTTTATCATATGAAAATGTGAGCCAGCTGCTGGAGCGCATTACACGCCCCAATAATTTTTTTCCAGCTACTTCCCTTCCTTCTGGTCATATCAGTGCACTCTCCTAGAACAAATTGAGCTCAGCAGGACAAGACCAGTGTGTACAGACAGAGGGCAAGTGCATTAAGTCAGTCAGGTTCCTTCCTCACTCATGAGACCCTTCTCAGTCAAAAAGGAAAAGCAGAACATGGTCTGGTCTTCAACTCCATTCTCTTAATCACAGAATGGCCAGGGTTGGAAGGGACCTCGAGGATCAGGAAGCTCCAACCCCCCTGCCACATGCAGGGCCACCAACCTCCCCATTTAATACTAGACCAGCTAATACTAGACCAGGCTGCCCAGGGCCCCATCCAATCTGGCCTTGAACACCTCCAGGGACGGGGCATCCACAACCTCTCTGGGCAGCTGTTCCAGCACCTCACCACTCTCTCTGTAAAGAATTTCCCCCTGATGTCCAACCTAAATCTCCCCTCCCTCTACTTAAAACCATTTCCCCTTCTCCTGCAGTTATCTACCCTTTCAAAGAGTTGATTCCCCCCTTCTTTGTAGGCTCCCTTTAGGTACTGAAAGGCTGCAGTGAGGTCACCCCACAGCCTTCTTTTCTCCAGGCTGAACAAGCCCAGCTCCTTCAGCCTGTCCTCATAGTGGAGGTGCTCCAGTCCCCTGATCATCTTGGTGGCCCTCCTCTGGACCCTCTCCAGCAGCTCCCTGTCATTTTTGTACTGGGGGCTCCACACTTGGATGCAGTATTCCAGATGGGGCCTCACAAGAGCAGAGTAGAGGGGAACAATCACCTCCCTGTCCCTGCTGGCCATCCCTCTTTTGATGGAGCCCAGGATACCATTTGCCTTCCGAGCCGCAAGGGCTCATGTTAAGTTTTTCATCTATCAAGACCCCCAGGTCCTTCTCCACAGGGCTGCTCTCAAGGACTCTTAAGCAATTACTGTGACCAGGAATTGGAAAATTTAAGCTACCATGTTTTTTACTTTCTCCTGACACTTGACAATGATGCATTCTGACACTCAAGTACAGAACTATGTTGCACTTGAAGCACAAGTCTGGAATCTGGGCCCAAAATAAGGAGGCTTGAATTGCTGCAGGGAAGATGGCATTCCAGAATCAGTAGCACATTTAATCAATAAAAAGCTCAAGTGGAAAAAAAAAAAAAAAAAAAAAAAAAAAAAAAAGCACAGATATCACTATTCCAGATATATTCTTAGAGCCATCATGCTTTGACATGACTGTCCAAAAGCCAGATGTGATGCTGTTAACATCCTCAGATCACTCCAGCAAACAGCTGCAGATTCAACACTTCACTCATGTTTAACTTATCTCCATCCAAACTTTCAGACAGCTCTCTCCACACACTGGAAGCAGACAGGTCTGCAGGACTGCATGTGTGTCAAGGGACTGATCTCAGCAGCAGTTCCAAGGATATAGCACAGCAAATCACAGTGTTAGTGATTCCCAACTAGGAAAGAGCACAAAAGCCTGTGCCTTCTCTCACCTGATACAGTTAACTGGCTAGAGTAACGATTCTATACCTCCTTAAGTGATCCTCCTCTAACAGGAGCAAGAAGGGAAAGGTTGATACAGTGCAACTGCTAACAAACTGAAGACTGATAACTGCACCACTCTGGGGCACTAGAAATACACATTCAAGACACAGACAATTGCTTCAGTGCAAAGACAGCAAAGCAACGCAAAAATTCACAGCCCAGAATGACAATCCAAGCTATTACCTCTTGCAGTCAAACTGCCTTCCCAAAACACCCCTAGTACCCCTTGTTATTAAAAGTTAACATACGCATGCACCATTATCCTGAAGATCCTTTGCCGCTAACACCATGCACAGGTGAGAAGCTTTAAGCTGTTACAGCTCCTGAACACAAGGCATCTCTCCCCTGTTACACGGCTGGTTGGAAGAGGGCCATGCAGCCCATTTAATTCAATTCTCTTCCATCTGCCCTAGACAGTCATGCCCTATTAGCCTTCTGAGAGCAATTGTATTTAAACTGAAAAAATGCCAGGAGTCCACATACATCCAGTGTGCTTGGGATGTACTGTTCCAAGCCAGCACAGGCCTGCCAGCTCTGAGCTGCAGGCCAGTACCAGAGCAATCCCAGCCTCTGTATCATTCTGCCCAGCTTTTATTTATCTTTAAAGATGGTTTTAAAAATTAAACATGAGCTCTGTTCCAGAGACACCTTCTGCATTAAGTACCAGAGCTGAAAAACAGATTCAATTGACACCAAGAAAAAAATAAATAAATAAAAAAGAGCATGCTTTGTTTTTGCTTTGCTCATTCCTCCCTTTGGAAGCTCTTCCCTCTACAACCAGATATGTGTACCAAAAACAGCACAGAGCAGCAGCATCACCAGCACCTAAAGCTCCTGCATGCACACAGCAGTCCTACAAACAAAACAGGTACTGATATGCTGCAGGCACAAGGGAACAAAGTCACCCACTGCACACAGGGCTAAACCCAGCATGGACAAAGCTGCAGAGCAGTGTGCTGCTGCCAGGATGCCATCAGTCACTACAGCAAATAAAGGGGAAGAGCTCAGATGCAGCCCTGAAGGTAACAGTGCAGCCACCTGATCCAGCAGCAGCTTCAGGCTTTCCCCACCTGTCCTGCAGAAAGATGGCAATTTTACAGACACATTTTTGTTTGAGATGACTAAGCATGATCTTTTCCCTTCCCACCAGCTTGCCTTCTTCTCTTGCACAGTAGCAACACAAAGCCTTCTCTGCTGGAGAAGAAAACTAGAAAAGGGTGAAAGATCACATCCAAACCACTCCATCCTTTTGCTCGTTTCCTTCAGGAAACCCTCTGCGGATGGTCCTCTGCCTTCAGCACATGCTCAAGTGGAACCATCCAGCCAAAGCAGGCCTTTGCTCAAAAGCACACCTTTTGGTATTTCCCCAGCACCTTAACTTCAGAGTAGGAAAAAAAAAGCGCTGTGGATTTGACATGTATGACTAATGTGATTCATACATGCCAGCAGAGCATCTTTCCCATCCCCAGCAATGTCAGTTCCAGGCATCACTTTACAATGACACTGTACAGCCTCACCGTTACACCATACAACTGAAAGCACAGGCATGACACAGGCACACAGCTTCCCAGCGGGCAAAAGGTCTGAGTGACGGCCACCAGCTTGCAGCCATGCCATGCCACCTGCCCAGACCTCAGCTCAGCTCCGACAGCAGGAGATGGGCACACACAGTCTCACCTACAGGGACCAACAACAAATGAATGAAGATCACGATACATCATAGAATGGCCTGGGTTGAACAGAACCACAATGATCATGTAGTTTCAACCCCCCTGCTATGTGCAGGTCGCCAACCAGCAGACCAGGCTGCCCAGAGCCACATCCAGCCTGGCCTTGAATGCCTGCAGGGATGGGGCATCCACAGCCTCCTTGGGCAACTTGTTTCAGTGCGTCACCAGCCTCTGTGTGAAAAACTTCTCCTAATATCTCACCTAAACCTCCCCTGTCTCCGTTTAAAACCATTCCCCCTTGCCCTGTCACTATCCACCCTCGTAAACAGCCGATCACAGAGCAAAGAAAGCAGTTCCGTACTCAGAGCTCTTCCAGCCCCCCACCCCATCGCAAAGAGAACGTGCCGTATTACAGAGGCTTTCATACTGGGAAAATATTTTAATATAGTAAACAAGTCAATTTACCTCTCACATGGTTTAAATAAGTTTACGCTCATGGCTAAACAAAATTCGGGACTTAAACAACGGGTTACAGCCTACGGATCGGCATCGCTCCCAGGCGGTCCCGCACACCGAGCTCCTCGGATGGGCGCAGTCCGGCCGCGGTTCGGGGGCGAGGAGTGAGAAGAACGAAGCCACGGAAGCCCACAGCGACGAGAGTCCACAGCGCCGTCACACACAGCCCGTCCCTCCGCTCAGCGTCCGGCGCTGCCCCCGGGCCTCCACACCCTCACGGCGCACTGCGGCCCTCCCCGGCCCCGCGCGGCGCTGGGAGCTCCGCGCCGCCCGTCCCGGCCGGGCTCCCCCCGGGCGGCGGCGTGGGGCCGGGGGGCGGCGGGGCGGCGGAGCGCGGCGGCGGAGCGCTGCGGGGCTGCGAGGAGGAGTTGGCGGCGGGGCCGGGAAGCGACGGAGGAGAAGCCGAGGAGCCGCCGCCGCCGCCTCCGCGCACCGGCTGCCAGATGAGGCTGTAGTAGACGGCGAGGACGATGGCGGCCAGCGAGACGGAGAGCACGTAGGCCAGCACGGTGGCCAGGCGCACCCACTTCTTGTTGGTCTTGGCCGCCATGCGAGCCTTCTTGTCCCCGGTGTAAGTGGCGGGCTTGCCCCGCTCCGCCCCGGCCTCCTTCTCCTTCATGGGGGCCCGGCCCTTGGCCCGCTGCTCCACCGACCCCTCCGTGGTGGCGGGGGCTGCGCGCCGCCGCTCCCCTCAGGACATGCCGCCGCCGCTGCCGCCTCCAGCCGCTACCCGCGCCGCTCCGCCGCGGGGCGGCCTCTGAGCGCCGGCACCGCCCGGGCGCGGTGCGGGGAGGAGGGGGTGCGCCTGCGCGCTCGGCCGCGCGGCTGTGAGGAAGGGGCGCGCGCCCCTGCGCAAGATGGCGGCTGCGCGCCGCCCTGCGCGCCTCGGGGCTCTGAGGCCGTCAGTGAGGCAGAGAAGAGGCGCGGGGCGGACCTTGCTGCTCCCTACTGCTGCGTGACAGGAGGCTGTGGCGAGGCGGGGTCGGCCTCTTGTCCCGGGCACGGCGATAGGCTGAGAGGCAATGGCCTCAAGTTGTACAAGAGGAGGTTCAGGTTGGATATTAGGAACGATTTCTGCTCAGAAAGAATGATGAGGGTCTTTCTGCCCGGGGGTGGTGGAGCAACCATCCCTGGAGGTGTTCAGGAACTCTCTTCTTTATAGTGTGAGATATTTACTCTGGGGAAGGCTGTGATAGAGCCTTTTGTCATCATTGTGTTTACCTCCCATGAATCTTAAGGCAGTCAGATGCGTTGCACGTGAAAACCTTGTTAACAAGGAGCTGCAGTTCCAAAAGAGGCCAATGGCAGCTGGAGAAATGGCTGTTTACCAGGAGGACCTCAGAGGAAGTGAGTGATTGAGTTTTCAGTCTGTTGCAGCGTTCCATTTTTCCCTTTTAATAGCAAGATGGATTGGGAGAGAAGGGGAAGGCTTCTATGCTTTATAACATGGTACTTGCAGCTCAGAGGAAGGCTGCTGGATGAAGGAAGAAGGTGCAATAACTTGACCACAATCACAATTTTTGGCACTGGTAAGGGTAGCAGTGATTTCCCTGCCTGTTCAGGGCTTGTGGGCCTTAGTGAGAACATGGTAGTATGAAAGAATTGCAGCTGGCAGCCTGATAAGGTGTGCAGGAATTCACACTTCAGCATGTATTTCTCCTCTTTCCGTTCCTGATAAAAGGCATTCTAGAAGCTATGAAGCAAAATGCTTTTTTTTTTTTTTTTTAACGGAAGGTAACACTTCTGATAGCTAACATTTTTTATTGTTTTACAGTAAGATACATATATTTATTGCAATGTTTAATGTTTAACATTAAAGCTTTATTAAACTGCAGCTAACAGCGTGCTCCACCTTCCTGAAGTGTTTAATTTTCATGAAATGGCACTGTAACCCAGTGTATCTAGGAAACATTCTTTACGCAGGTATCATAACTCTTCTACAGGCCCCTTATCTTTCTTGTACTGATTAATTACGCCTGGATGTATTTCTCTGGCTGAAAACAAATTTCATACACCTGAATAACATGAGCTGATGGCATCCTGCTGACACCACTTTCCTGAGCCATGAAAATGCATCTTGTTGTGTTCTGTAGATTCTATATATATATATATGTCTGGCTATGTATGATTGAACATGCCTTATGTTGCTTCTTAGATTTTCAGCTTGTACTTAATCTATCCTCTAAACTGCTGGTTCTCTCATTCTGGCTGGGTGTTCCTGCTATGGAGTGCTGCAAAGAGTTCCTTTATAGCACAGAGCTGTTCTGTATTCGTTCAGAGCTCTTTCTCTATTGATCTGTGTAGAAATCAGTTCATTCCAAACCCTTTGGCTGGCTTTGATCTCCTCTGGTGTTGCCACTAATGCAATTTATCATTGCCTCTGATGAAAGGCCGGTGAATTAACTCCCACAAACCTTTCCCCTTTATTCTTTCTTAATTTCAATCCTGGAGTTTTTGGAGGGAGGATTACATTTACAGGCTCTGGCAGTTTTTGCTTGATACCTGTTTAGTCCATATTATCATTTTGCATTTTAAGCCTCTCCTCGGAGGCACTATGTGGTTTCTTTATTGTTTAACTTTAAATCTCTTGTCATGGCTAGAAGTTGGAAGACAAAAAATAGAGTTGGAGTTGCTAGGTAAAAGTAAAGTATGTTGATTTTGATAAAGGATATTTAAGAGAGAGCAGACTGATACAGAAAACAAAGGCACAGAAGGTAACAATGAAATGGCAAGCATCAATAATGAGCAGCTACAGCTGTATTCTTTGATCCTGTGTCTCCAAGATCAGATTCCCCTCTCCTGAGAAGAAAACAAATCCTTCCAAATCTGTCCAAATGATTGTGGCTTTTTCACTGGTGTTACTTTTCTTTTTTCCCTCTGCTCACCACAACTCAGCTTTTCAATCTAATAGCTTTCCTTTTCCATCAGTGGAGATCTTGGCAGACAGAATTTGCCAGGGATGCGCAGTGCAGCAGTAGAAGCAGCCTCAGCAAAGGCATTGTGTGCTGTGGTTGGGACCCACAACCACTTGGTATCACTTTAATGTGTTCAATTCCAGAGCAGCTGAAGCTGCTTCGGCTAGCAGATGTGGCAATAGATCATTCAGCATGAGTTTCTCTTCCTTGCCTTCCAAACACTTTTGCTCCTTCCACTCTGTGATTGCAGGTGTGTAGTTGTCCTAAAGTTGAACTGTGTAGTTCTTTAGATTTTACCTTGAAACTAATATCTTCACCTCCACATTGCATTTATTCTTTGCTTATTTAGGCTATGGTGTACCTCCTGACTGCGCTGAAGACTTGCCTTCCTAAAAGACAGCAATTCTCCCATCACGTTAAAGAAATTCACTGCCAAGCTCCCTTTGCCTTTGCTCTGATTAAGATGAGAGACAACGCATGTTGGTGAAGTACCAAGTCTTGTTGGTTTTTGCTGTAGTTAAGCTTTTCTTTTGACTGTGAACAGATGGGTGTGAACTTCTCTCCAGGTCTTCTTATTCAAGAGCAGGCAACTGCTAGGTGTGTGCCTTCTGTTCCTAAGCTTAGCTCCTTGCTAATTAATTGCTTTAAAGGCAAACGGGAGCCAGGAAGCCAGGCTGAAATAATGATATTTTCTTTGTCCCTTGGATTTCAGCAAAAATACCAAGCTGTGCCTAGAATGGTCTCCTGTGATGCAGAAATAGAGCTCTGGGGGCAGAGCACAGAGATGCTTGTGAAGTCAGTGAATGTACCAGATTTCACAATGCTTGTAAATCGATTCTCTCTGAGATTTTTGCCTCAAGAACACAAAAGGGATTGGAGTTAAAGGCACGTGGTGCACCCTGGCACAGCAGCAGAGAGCTGTGTAGCCCTTGGACATCTAGCCTTTCTCCCTTGATGGCACAGACGCTGTACTCTGCTGGGTCTGACTGACTATAAACTTCTCTGATTTCTCACTTTGCTTGTCTGAGGGTCCTCCAGGAAACTCGGTTACTTCTGAGCTTGCTGCTTACCACCTTCTGCCTATGTTCAATTGAAAACCCAGGTACCAGGACAGATTGTTGAAGATTAGATGTTCCACCCTCCTGACTGCACAGTATTACTTGAATTCTGCTGCTACCTGTTGCAGTGGGAGGCTTGTTTGCTCTACGAGGTCCCCTGAAGGTTGTAGCTAAATAAACTTATAGTATTGATTTGTCCATGTTCAGAGTCAGTAGTATCTACTGCTTCAGGACAGAGAAGACTTAATTAAGGGAAGATTATTGGCCTAAGATATCACCTCTGTACAGACCTTGCTTCTGAGAGTAGTGGAACACTAGGATAGATGCCTGAGAGGTTGGTGAGCCTCCAATGCTAATGGAGACCTCCCAAAGCTCTCTGAACTAATGTCTGTCAGTGCTGATAAATCACAGCTGATCCTGCCTTGGGATGAAGGGCAGGCAGGACGGCTTCCCACAGTCCCACTGTTCCTCTGCACTTGTTTTAACAGCTCTTCTGCCTTCCCTTCTTGTGCTCAGTCATTAGGAGGCACTTGAATGTGACACCCTGTAAACAGTCAGCTTGCTCTATGAGGTGTGCATCTGAGTTGCTGCATTTATGCCAGGTTGTTTAAAACTAAAAATTGTAATTTGCTTCCACAACACTATATAATCCCTTTTTTGAACTCTGACTCTGTTTTGGGGGGGTGGTTTTTGTTGGCTTTTTTTCAGTCTATGCCTCCAGCATGTGACTTTTGCAGGTAGATTATAGACTTTTTATTGGTTGTAAGGATGTAGTTTATTTATGGAGTCCTTGGTGATGTCTGTGAGCTGAGGAGGGGAGAGATGGATGAGGTCTCCTAAAGTTTAAGGGGCAGAACAGGTGTGTTTAAATCCATTTATTTCTTGGCAGAAGTTCTTGGGCAAATACTTTGCTAGGCTAGCCTTCTGTCACACTGAGTGCCCTTGACAAAACAGTCTTTGAGACTCTGCTGTCCACTCTTTTAAACAAAATAAGCCTTATTTTACACTGTTGTTCCATCTCCTGTTTGTAACCTATAGGGATCCAAGTTTGTTCACCTCTAGCATTTTTCTGTCACACTTCAGAGTCTATTATGTCTTATGTGGGAGGGTGCTGTCTCTCTCATTAGTCCACTAGCAGATTTGGTTGGGAAAGCTGGGAATGTTCTTTTATTTCCTTCACCTTCTGATGTAGCTGTAGTAAGTGAAGTTTGCACAACCCACTGTCTTGCATTGACTTGGAAAGTGATCTGCAGAGGTTATAGGATGTGAGTAGGTAAGAATTTGAGATGGGACAGTGAGATCTGGTTTTGCTCAGGATAGAGGCCCTGAGCAGAAAGGTCCTGGTAGCTCAGAACAGTGATGCATCAGTGGCTCCATCCTTGTGTCATCAAAAAATTAAAAAAAAAAAAATAAAAATTAAAAATCAACTCTTTAGGAGTGAAGCTATGCTGTCTGTGTAGAAATCTACAGCCACAAATCAGTGCTTCCTTTTGCAAGGAGGGAAGGCACACGTGTGTATACACCAAACACAGATGCAATATCTGAACACAATTCTTAGAGCTGTATTTTGAAAATAACCACCACTTTTCAAGCAATAGAACAGCGCTTATCAGCCACATAAACTCACCATGCTTCTTTCCTCTGATTTTCATGGTTTGTCTGAAGAAGTTGAGCTTTTCCACTTTTGAGTGGGGAATCATCGTAGTGTCATAGAACAATTTGGGTTGGAAGGAACCTTGAAGATCGTCTAGTTCCAATTCCCTGGTGTGAACAGGACAGCTAACCACTGTATCAAGCACATGACCAACCTCTGGGGATCGGGCATCCATAACTTCTGGGCAACTACTTTCAGTGCCTCACTACCCTCTGAGTGAAAAATGTCACTGTAACATCTACTCCAGGCTGTACAAGCTCAGCTCCTTCAGCTTTTCTTCACAGGACAGTTGCTCTAGCCATCTGAGCTTCTTCATGGCCTCCTCTGAGCCCTCTCTAAAAGCTCCATGTCTTTCCTGTGTTGGGAGTCCCTTTGGATAGCTACCCTTCTTTCTGTTGTATCTACTGCACCACTCAACTTGGTGTCATCTTGCTGAGAATACTTGCTGAAGGCATGCTCAATCCCATTGTCTGTGTTGTCGATTGGCTGTGATCCTAAGGGTGTTCTTAATGCTTTCAGGATTCCTGGGGTTCAAAATACAAAATGGAAAAGGGGGTAAGAAGAGGAATTCAGTTTTGCTTAGCTGTGAGTTCATTACTGATTTTTGAAGGCAGTGCTGAAGGCTCTGTGTGCAATATCATAGCTTCTTCACTAGAGGACAGCATTACACATTGCAAAGTGTAATTTCAATGGAACAGTGCTGGAAAAGATTTCTTACTGGTTTCAGAAGTGGGTGAGCTGGAAATAGGTTGGGATTGAGGAGTAATGTGCTAGAGCTCAGGAGCCATCCAGTCAAGGTGGTTCCTATATAGCATGACTTAAAATCACCATCTACGAATCTTACCGTGTTAAATCAGCAGAGGATGGTGCAGGCCATCTCGTCTCTCTATGTGCTTTGTGGGATGTAGAGGCAGCTGAATAGGTAGGACAAAGGAGATAAGGGCAGTTCAGGGGAAGGAATAAATACATTCAACGTCAGAACTCTTGTAATTGGTGGGATATACAGTGGATGAAGGTAAAGGATGAAAGCCAAGGAGGTGCAGTGAATGTGGGATGGCTGCAGACTGGGTGA